TGTTTGTTTTAGGAATAAAAGATTATTTTTACGTTTTTATGAATGACTTACTTTGAGGTTTTCAACTGTAGTATATAGGTACCTAATAAATAAATAAACGTGATTTCGTTTCGAGCTAACCATTCGAAGTTAATGATTAGGCATTGATAGTAGGTAATTAAATCGTCACGACGTATTATATCACGAAGCTGCAACCATCATATTTAATTGCAAATAAAAAAAAATACACGCAACCACTTAAGTAATTACGTGACTCGTAGTTAGTAACTTTGACAGGGACAACAATAACTGATCATTATCCACCGCCAAAAAGCAATTTACAGCTTAGTAACTTGTCACTATAGGGTTTCATTTAACTATTATTAATCAATTTAAATAATAACAGACTTAGCCTCCGGACAGCTGCAGTGTCAGCATGATATGCAACTTGCTCTATCAAAACTACGCGCTATTTTGCATAAGACATGGTTGATAATTTTATGCATGCTATAAGTACGTATTCCTTCAAATTACAAAGATTAGTGGACGTCAATGTGACGTAACCCTGACTCCGATTCACAGCGTGTTTATTATTATCGTGTTTGAATTAGCACGCTTATTAGAACTTCAAAATAACAAACTTGGTTAAGTTATTTACAGATACGTACTTAATAATAATATGCATAGACAGACATAGATAAATTCAGTAGGACCTAATACATTGGGTTGACATAAGTTTATTTTTTTACACGAAGACAATGTTTACGTAGGTTTATAATGATGTTGCGCTAAGAAAAGAAGTTATCGAAATATTATAAGTTTCTGCAGGCGATTTTTTTAATATTTCGTCATCATGCATCGATAATATCTATTCTTATCCGAATAAATAAACAAATAATGATGTGATCCTAGTTCTAAAAGTTGTCGATATATTACGCCCGTAACTATTTACGAGTGCTCAGTTGTTTTTCTGTTAATCGATGTTCATTAAACCGATTTTATCGGCGCGAGTACTTTCGGATGAATGATGAGGTCAGGCGTTGATTCACACCACACATACAGCAGGCCTTGTTCTTATAAATAATCATTTGCTGTGCACTTGGTCTGATTTAGATTGCGAGTTACATTTTTACTGATATTTTTGACTGATGACTCGATGTCGAGGTACAGCTCTTCCTGCTTTGAAAGGATTGTGTGGGCTTAAATTAGATCTAATGTCTGATTTTATGTCTTAAAATGAATTATACCTGTGTTAGAACTGACAGCAATCATAATTATTATGTATTTTTATCAAGATACGTGTTTTTGATTTACCATATAGATTTACCTGCGATGCTACTCTATAATTCAGTTTCCACAATATTTTTAGATTTTCCCATGTAATTTATCTTAAACTTTAAGTAAGAACTTAAATTTTCGGGTTAGTAGTAGTTTCGCACGATTTTCCTTCGCACGAATGTAATTTTAATACTTTTGATACAACCGGTTGTTGTTTTCAATAGCGAAACTTCAAATCGGATTAAATTTTCAATCGCCAATTTATCAAAATTAAATTGATCATTTACTTTATGCGTATTTACTTTTTTTTAATGCGTAAATCTATTCTTTAATGCATCAGTGACAAAGTACACTATATTATCCTAAAATTATGTAACGAAACAATATAACCAGAATATTAGTTTTTTATCTTTTGAAACGTAAGTTTTATCTAGACATAGTTTCAGTGATTCTTAAAACAATAAACACTGGAAATTCCAGATGAAGCGAAAAAATACGTGCGTCGAAATAATATTATGCATAATTTACTCGACAGTAAAACCATATTATTAATGATGAGAAAATTATGTAGGTATTTACTATTACTTAAAAATATCGACATTTACAAGTATTTTCCTGAGTCGTATCCCTACAACTAAAACACCGATGAGCCGAGGTCGCACGCAGCAAATAAACGTGTTCGACCTAGGTTTTAGACTTTTTCTAGGCACGGTGTCTGGCTAGTTTCAGCTCTGAATGTTAGACTTATGACTACTTTCCTGACAGTATCTAAGTTATGCACATTCATTTATGTCGATAAGATTTAGGGTAAGGTGGGGCACAATGTTACACGTTGTACAATGTTACAATGCATATTTCTCCGTCCCTTTCTATTAGTTCTATGATATTCAGCGGCTCAGTTCAGCAGCTCTTATGAGCTTGACAAACGTGTATACCTACCAACATCATACAACTAATAGAAATGGACGGAGAAATAAAGAATTTATTTATTGTTAAAAATAATTTATTAATTTATTATACATATATTTCATATTTAATTGTGAAAGAAAGAAAAAATATTTATTTGGTACTAAATGATAAACATGTGCTTATACATAACATAAGTTATCTTACGAGCAGCATCCTCTCAGGCTCCGCCGCACAAGGTACACTTACACAGAGTGGCATCAGGTGTATACATTTTTTATGGGTCTACTTTTTAGAGGAACGTAGTCGGAACGATTGTAATTATTCCGGAATTTTAAATACTCAAGATCTGGCTCCATTTAAAAACAACTAAACAGACATATTATTAAGTTACTTCACGTTTAATGAAATCAGAGTTCTAGAGTATCCAAATTGTGATGCAGAATTATTAATACATCTACGCGTAAGTAGGTACATCGTGTGATTCTGTATCTGCAAACGAACGCATCTCTGAATTCTGAATCTAAATTTGATTCTCGGGTGGCACACAAAAAATTCAGAGTTAAATTGTAAAATGTGCTATTTCGTAATGGCATAGCATAACTGAATCTTTCTGACTGTCTGAAAAATTTTGCTCCGAGTTTCATCGATCAGACAAAATTCATAAAATCACACAAGCATTAATTTCATGATGTCTGTCACTTACTAGATTTACAGCCTACGCGAAAAAAAATCATTTTTATAGGACAGGAGGCAAACGAGCAGACGGAAAAAAATATTATAATATGACAATAATATTATCGCAATCTCATTAAAATCGCAAATTCGTGAGCGATGCTAACATAAGCAGACACTGGTGTACTCGTATCACGTTATAGCTTTATTTGTTAATTATTACAAGCACGTGCAAGTTTAGTTTCCACCTACAAAAACTAGAGACCAATGTTAAAAACGCAATAAAGAGTGATTTATTCATTTACGAGATCCCTCTAGTCTAGACGATTTAAATGTCCTATGCAGATTTATAAAGGTCATATTAAAGTCTAGGAATTAAAAACAAACTTAACTAAATACTAGATATTGAAGAATGATCATGGTTATTTAAAAATAAGGGTCATTTTATCAAGTTTTGAATAATTGCGGACCTATTAGTTATGACGTGCTGTCGCCTGTGAAAATGAAAGTCATTGTGACATTACATTTCGATAACCTCTCACAAATAAATAAACATTAAATATGCATGCAATGATGACAACACAAAAAAAAAAAGAAATATACCTACTTAATTTTTAATAGATAAATAACCGTTTTGAGATAGATACGAAGGCAATTGATAACTTCTTGGTATTTTAAAAACCAAAACATCCAATCTTATCATCCTACTAATATTATAAATGCGAAAGTTTGTGTGGATGTATAGATATTAGGGTGGTCCTTATTCCTAAGAAAAAATTTTTTTTTCTTATATTTTGCGGGGCACCACGTAATTTGAATATATGCCATATGAAAGTCTTTCATTATTTTTTTTTTAATTTTTAAAAGACATTTAGGGGTCGCTACCAAGGTTTGAATTTTAAGTAAAAACACAAAATCTTTATTTGTTAGATTCATTTATTTTTAGCCGAAGCCAAGTAAAAATATTACAAAATTATTGTTGTTGCTATGAACTAAGATATTATGTACAATGTACATATTTGGATCCATTATTTTTAAGATATAAGAGTTTACTTGTTAGTATCTCGACGCGTCGGTACCATGGTCGGTACAGAAGAGGGGTTGAGGGGAGAAGGGGACAAGAAGCGATTGTCTATTCTATCTATGCGATGTTCATTTCCACCTAAAATGTGATATAAACACTTAAATAAAACATTTATGAAACCATGATTTAAGATCTTCAAAGCTTTTTGTAAATATTTTGACAGCTGGTAGCGACCTCTAAATCTTAACCAAAAAAAAAAACAAAAAAAGCTAATTTCATATTTAGAGGTATATAATCGAATGAGAAAGTGCCCCGGGGAGAAATCAAAAGTCGAAAAATAAGGACCACCCTAATAGATATATTATAATAATGCCCGTTTTCACCACCAAACCCTAATTTTTAAGTGACCCCTATATTAACACATTATATGAATTTTGTTTTCATAAGGGTCATTTAAAAATTAGGGATTGATGGTGAAAACGGGCATAAATGTAATTATGTTAGTACTATTTCACGCAAAACTACTGAACGGACTTTGTAAATTGGTGGTGCTTTACTGAGACTTTATAAGGACTACTTGAGAGAATCCGAAGAATCACACTGCACTGTTCTGTTTCATTTGCCCACACTCATGCACGTTCACGAACACTTAATGGTTAATAATCCACCATTATTACACATTAATAGTCGTCTAGACACGAATTTTAGAAAATAAAACAAAACCGCTAACAAACATTACGCTTCACATTCGCGCCAAGAAGTCAATACATGGATTTTTTCTACATAATAATATATATTTTTAATCCACAAAAAGGATTATTTTTATCACCACTAATTTATAATAAACAATCACTTCGGCTGTTCTAAAACAGTCGAAATCCTATCCTACTAATATTATAAATGCGAAAGTTTCTAAGGGTGTATGGATGTATGAATTTGTTTGTTACTCTTTCACGCAAAAACTACTGAACGAATTTTAGTGAAATATTTAGTTTCACGCGGGCGAAGCCGTGGGCTAAAGCTACATTTTTATAATCTCGTAGTTTGTTTAGACAAAACCTGTTCTGTGGCATTATCATGCAAAACAAGCTGTATCTACTTAACTCTGATATACAAATATTTATCATGAGTTAGCGCGGAGTGCGGACCAGTTGCGCCCGAGCGTCGTGCGCGATACCTTCTTTGTCATTTGTGTAAAATGTTCGCGCTCATTTTACTCGCCGTGGTACTAGTAGTAATTTACCTGTACAACACTAGAACATTCAGTTATTGGGCTAAAAAAGGAGTGAAATATGAAAAGCCAGTGATTCTTTTCGGGAACAATTCCAAAAACTTCCTTATGCAGCGGAGCAGGAGCCAGATGGTCGAAGAATGGTACTGGAAGTATCCAGATGAGAGAGCCGTCGGATACTACAGGTCAACTACGCCCGAGCTTATAGTGAGAGATCCGGAGCTCGTAAAGGAGGTATTAATATCTGGATTCTCCCACTTCTATGCCCGTGGATTTCATCCATATCCAAAAGTAATTGAGCCTGTGATGCGTAATTTGTTTATAGTCGAAGGAGATCTTTGGAAGATGTTGAGGCAAAGAATGACACCGGCGTTTACTAGCGGGAAGCTGAAAGCTATGTTTCCTATGATAGTGGAAAGAGCTGAAAAATTACAGATAAAGGCTTTAGCTGCATCTAAAAGTGGCGCACCCATAGATGCCAGGGACCTTATGGCCCGGTTCACCACCGACTTCATCGGGTGCTGCGGGTTCGGTCTTGATGGGAATTCCTTAAACGAGGAGGACTCTGATTTCCGCAGACTTGGCTTCGATGTATTCAACGTGACATTCAGAGACTTCGTCGTTGGAGTACTGAAAGAAGTGTTCCCCGCACTTTGTCAAAACTTAAGATTGTTTGCCAGAGTTGAGGACAGAATATTCAACCTCGTGAATCAAGTTCAGGAAAGTAGAGGCTACAAGCCATCGGGCAGGGGTGATTTCATAGATTTGCTTCTAGAATATAAAGAAAAAGGACCGATTACGATAGAATCGATTGAGAAATTTTTACCAGATGGTACACCCGAAAAGGTTACCATGGAGCTTGATAATGTCTTGGTAGTGGCGCAAGTGTTTTTGTTTTTCGCGGCCGGGTTCGAGACATCTTCATCGACTACAAGCTACACTCTCCACCAGCTTGCTTATAACCCTGAAGTTCAGAAGAAAGTGCAAAAAGAAATTGATGAAGTTCTAGCTAAACATAACAATAAATTGAGTTACGATGCTGTCAAAGACATGACGTACCTGGACTGGGCTTTCAGAGAAAGCATGCGAATGTTCCCAGCCTTAGGGTATCTGTTAAGAGATTGCGTTCGGCAATATACATTCAAAAATATGGATTTGACCGTAGACCCTGGTGTGAAGATGTTGGTGCCCGTGACAGCACTGCACATGGACCCCAAATATTGGGACAACCCCAAAGAATTCCGACCCGAAAGGCACCATCCAGATGAATTTACTTCCAAACAGAAAGCAGTATTCTTCCCATTTGGAGAAGGACCTCGTAACTGCATCGGTAAGTTATTTTTATGAAATTGTAATAAAACAAAAACAAATTTGGTAATAACTGTAACCCGCCTTCAATATTCTAATGAAAATTTTCTTCAATGCCATTATCATTTTGTAGTACAGATTCGTACGAATGTTGGAAACTAGTAGTCAAAGCTCGGGCTCAATAACTATTATTATTATTATTAAATTATTATTATTATTATATTATTATTAAGAAGCCATGTCTCTAGCCACTACTGGCTGATGATGGTGAAGCAGAAAGCCACAAAACGTTAGTAAACTCAGCTGTTCACCGCCATACTGTGACCGCAGGTACTCGCCTGGGCCAGATGCAGTCGCTCGCGGGACTGGCGGCCATCTTGTCCCGGTTCACCGTGGAGCCGGCCCCGGGAAGCGTGCGGTTCCCGCAGGCCGACCCTACGTCAGACATCGTGCAGAGCCCCAAGGGCGGGAAGTTGCCCTTGATATTTAAAGACAGGAAAGCGTCGGCTGTGAATGGATTCTAAGATGTGAAAATATAGCGCACTTTAAGGCTTGTTTTAGAGTCACGCTGACCCACGCTGACCGTCAGCGCTGACAGCCGAAATGTATGAAGCGTCGGCGCGGAGCGATCAGCGTCACTCAGGAACGTTCCCTTCAATTACATACAATATTGATCTGTCAGCGCCGACGATCAGCGAGCGGTCAGCGCGATTCTAAAACCCGCCTAAAACGTTGTTAATTTTTAATATTTTTTTATATTAGGACTTGCCATTTTCGGCGGTAATACGGGAATTGTCGTAATTAATTGTGGTTTTCTGAATTAAGAAATAAAAAAATACTTATAATAGCTTCAAAAAAATGTACAGAGTAAATACACTATTGTGCAAGAAATTTTTTTTTTTATTACTTTGATTATAATTTGGATCTATCATTAGCGAATTTATGTAGTGAAAGCTTGTGTGGACATTTGTTACTTTTTGACGCAAACACTACTAGACGGATTTAAATAAAACTTTAAAGTACTTTTATTTATTTATTATCAGAAAATATTGCAATCACAGGTCGTAATCAGGAACGGTAATGGACTACAACGCCAATTCCGGATATGGGTTATCATCTAAGTAGTAGGTATGATAGCAATTTATGACAATCATCATGTATTAGTATTACATAATATCAAGTACTCATAAAATGTGATAACGGACAAAAACATATTGTGTCATAAATGGAACTAAATTAGATAACAGAAGTAAGTCTTACTTGTTATACTATTAAGTACTAGCTTTCCGCCCGCGTAAAATTTTGCCTGTAACAAAAAAACTATCGCGCACGTCCCTGTTTCAAAAACCGGGATAAAAACTATCCTATGTCCTTTCCTGGGACTCAAACTATCTCTATGCCTTTCATTAAAATCGGTTCAGTGGTTTAGGCGTGAAAGCGACACAGACAGACAGAGTTACTTTCGCATTTTTAATATTAGTATAGATTCTGTGGTCTTATAGTGGTCGTTCATATTATACTAATATGTGCATATCTACTTATATTTAAGGAAATAAATTATTCTCAAGGTTGAAATCATTTGGCACGTAATGTGACCGTGTCGTTTTACCTACTTTACAAGTCAAATTGGTCATTTGGTAAAGCTTTATGTCTTAGCTTTGCGAATGTGCTTCCGGGTTTATTGCCAGGTCAGGTGCACTTAAACTTTTTTGTAAATTAATTGTTTACCAACTCCTACCTTAGTCCCGGTTGTTGGACTAGTCGTGATAGTAAAATTTTGTAGGAGGAAGTTCTTTTTTTTTAGATCTTGATGCAGAGCGCAATAACCTAAGAATTGTAATAAAAACTATTAGGTACCAATGGTATGGTATAGAAAGGAATAGATCAGATTTTTCTCGGATTTGCCTTGCAACAATAAAATCTAGTTCTGGTTTCAAGTCGAGATACATCACCTAAAAGTTAACTTATCTGATCCTGTATCACTTAACTGTAGTTCCTAGAGTGTAGTCGTAGCCTTTTCAACTATTTTTAAAGCTGGGTGTTATCGTCATAACTTTTTCACGATATTTTCACTCGGATAAAAATTTTATGATATTTATCATCAGAATTCTGCTTGTATTTATATGACTTCTTTTTTTAAATCAACATTTACGCATGATCTACACGAATATTATAAAGCTGAATAGTTTGTTTATTGTTTGTTTGCTTGAAGGTGCTTATTTCAGGTACTACTGGTCTGATTTAAAAAATTATGTTAGTGTTGGATAGCCTATTTATCCAGGAAGGCTTTAACTAATAAACCATCATCCTACAGCCAATAGGGGCGGAGCAGTAAAGATAAATGTTGCAAAAACGGGAAATATTGTTCTATTTTCATGCGTACAAAGTCGCGGGTGCAGCTAGTAGAGGTAACGTTTATAAAGTACCTTTATGATCGTAAGTATCGGCACACGCAGCCTTCGACGTACGTTCGCGGCGGTTCCGGCAGGTGTCTTCTACTATCGGGCCTATCGGGCGCGTCCGACGGCCGCTATGAAAGCTCGCGTGCGTCTAACCATTCTTTGTCTTCTATAAATAAGATTAGAAGACCATTGTTTGGCTGACAGTGCGAAAGATATTAGATTTATTTTGAAACAGTTTAAAGGTACTTGCCGCTGCCCTTTTTACTCGTCTGCGACAGAAGGAGGATTAACCTTCTGCGACTGAGGTGGTAGTCTCACAGACACCGGAGAACATATTTGATGTTGCTATTTTGTCATATGGCGTTATGTAGGTACCTGTCCCGCTCTGTACCTTCCTAGAATGGAACAAGAAAGCGGACAGTAAGTGTCGCCCAGCGACACGGTCCACGCGTGGGGCTCTGCGAGTGACTGGTGTTTGTCAGACGTAAGTACAGCAATAAGCACTGATTCTGTTAGACGTAACCTTAGTAATTACATAGTGTCTCTTAGACGTATTTATCAAGCCACATATGTATTTATCAAGTTATATATTTTTTTGGAGATATCTGATTCAAGGAGTGAAAAGATTAGACGTACTAATTTTGAAATTTCACGCGGGTGAAGCCGCTGGCAAAAGCTAGTTGTCAATAAAAATATCGGAAGGTAGAACGTTTTCTTTGAGTTGAAAGGATGTCCATTCAGTACTCGGTCACAAGCTGTCGTCGCTATTTTCGGGTTTACAAGTCTATCGGGGAGAATAGTTGGTTGAAGTAATGGGTTTTATTGTATTATTATATAATACAAGTTTTAAAAAGTGTAAGTGTGATGAAATGACGGTGCTTAGGGCGCGTACGGTACGAGTCTTGGACTGGACATTACCATCAAAAAGGTAAGACATTACCATGTTTTAATATGTATTTTCTTCTTTTTTCTCTTGCGTACTGGAGTCAGTAGTATCTATCAATTGACCCCTATTTCCTTTTACATAATTTACCTGCATACCTAATCAAAGCCTACAACCTATACTAACGCTGGCTCACAGCGCAGAATCACCTAAATATTTTGGTAGGTGTAATGTCTCCATAACTTAGTAGTCAGAGCAAGCGAAAGATCGTAGGTTCATGTCCTTTGAGAATTAATAGTTTTTGTTTTCAATTGATTGTCTTGATAGATAAAATATTTACTTATTGCTATGTTTTTATAGATCACTTTTATGTGATATTCATGCACACTATACTTCTATTCACACGTCTAGTCTCTCAAGTTATCGTTTTGTTTCATCGCGATATGTCTGATCGCTAGTGCGATGGCGGCGGCCATTGCTTCCGCGCGTGCGCATCTTTTATATGGTTTTTGGTATTAGAACAGATAAATTTATATTCACACGAGTAAATGAAAAAACTGATCAAAATTATAAGAACCTTGTAACCTATTTATAAGAACCCTTGTAACCTTTGTTCATACACAATAAAGACTTTATTACTTTATTACTTTAAGAATACTGAGCTGAGAGATCTGGTTCATACATTAATACATCCATTGTTTTAAACGTTAGCAGTTTTCACTCCTAAATTTTCAATATTCTGAAACTTGGTGGAAATTTCTAAGTGTCTAACTAAACTCTACAAAGGTAAAATAAATAGAATGTGTACATTTACAATTCCAAACTCAAGTACACAAACCATTAATTCCACCAAAGCATTAATAGCATTCAAATCGCATGTTTTACAACCATAAGCTTTCCGCAACTCGCAGCAATCGAGTAATCGAGTCTCGGACAGCACTCACTTCCGCGTATCGATTGTCCATTCAGCTGTCAACTTACCCAATTGCTATTCAATCGGTGACGTGCTCGATCGTAGACCAACAGTTGTCAATTGGATTAGGTCTGCCGCAAGCTATTGATATTGTTTGTTGATTTTGATAATAATGTCACATTTTAAATGAATAATGTTAATTGTATACAAGTATTGAATAAAATTACTAAAAATCACACTAGATAAAATTAATACAAAAATGAACGTAAAAAAACGCGATTAAAAATTTTGCATCCATCAAATAACTGTCACTTTAAAACCAAATCCTCAATTCATAATTATGTTTACGTTAGAAATAATCGTGTCTATTTACGTATTTCTTTATCTTTATTGCGCCAAAGACTGCGGTTTTAAAACTGATTTTATTATGTCTAAAGTGATCGCAATGCGTTTATTATCACGAATCATAGATAGTGCTCCAAGGCCATCGAAATTAATTTTCATTAACACTGTAGCTTGTAGGTACTATGTTCCTTTTACTAAAAAGATCGTGCACGTGTGTGTATCACACACATCACATTGCTTAACGCTAAAATTTCAAATCTTCAGCCAATGCAAATCCAAAGACGGTCATAGAGTAAAAAGGGAAAGGGTCTAGAATTTCGAAATTTGGAAGAATTCGTGGAGGAGTGCCAGATATTGGAGATCTATGTGGTAGAGCTCGATAGCAGAAAGGATACATAATGTGTTAAAAATATGAACTGCAATAGAAACATTCGCAGTGGGCCTAACTAATCGCTAATGCTCGTTAAGCAATCCAGTGGCGGTTGGTGTGAGCCCACAATTCGCGTGATGGAACCACTTTATCGACGCGCCCATACAAATATACAGGGCTGTCGAAAGTATTAACTACCTTATTCAATAACTATTTCCCGTAAAAGATACTGCTGCTTACAAAGGTTACGTTATAATTTATTGTAAAATAATTTATCTCTAAGCTGTCTCGGCTTATACTGAAGTTTTTGTGTATTTCTAACTTGTTTATTCTCTAAAATTAAATAGCTAATGAAATTAAGTTACTTAACTTATCATCATTTAAAATCAATCAATAAGCATTCTCTCTTTAAAATGATATCAGTATTTATGTCCATAATAATTCAAAAGATATTTATAACGAAACCTGTTCCAACAGATCAAAGCCTCCGAGTTTCGCAACAACAATATTGACATGAAAAGCTGAACTTTATGAGGACCTCATTTCCGTACAGCCTGCTGTTTGGAGTCATTTGCTACTTCCAAGTTACAAAAGTATTGCTTATCATTGATTGATTTGTGAGATTTGTTTTGAAAATTCTGCCCGTTTCCTTTGATTTATTACTGAAAATTAATAATAATCAGCATTTTGTTATTGAAAGTGGCTAAAGTTTTTCTTTATTTATATTCCAGGGACGTAGA